AATTTCTCTCTCCTTAGTAAGGCAATGGAAAGGCGAAGGCTAGTGGAGGACCTGGCAATATGGAGCTTTTTGGCAGCCAGCCACCAATTCCATAGGAAATACCCTCCCTAGAAGGTCACCGTAACGGTGGCAAAATTTGGCCCAGAAGAATTAGAAAAAGCTGCCAAGATGTGACGCAAATAAAGGCAGTGTGCAGGCCAGCTTCCTGCATAAGGCCAAAACATGGAGTGCTCCTGGAAAAAGAAAGATTAAGGGTTGCAAGGAACATAATGGCCTCTTGTAACAGCTCTGTTGAAGCTTTTCTTTTCGTTGGCAGAAAAGAGGGATGTTTTGTTGCCGGTTGATTAATCTATTATGCAAATCATTTCATAGCTAATTTGATACAGCCTCACATTTGCCACAGCAACCATGGAACGCTCAGGACTGACGAGAGGCACAGTACCAGCAGCTCCACTGCTCTCTGGCTGTCCTGATTGCATTGGGAGCACAAAGGGAACACTTCATCTTGCTCAACGCCGTTTTGGGCCTCTCCTCTTCCACGATGGCTAAACCCAAAGCAGGGGAGAGACAGGACCTACTGACACCAAGAGTCAGGGGTTTGGCCACTGTACTTTACCCACACACTTCACCTCCATCGCTCAGGTTTGCATGCCTTTCCTCAAGCATCTCAAATGTTTAACATTGCCTTAGCCAGCAATTTTTTTTTTAAAGCCTGCCTCATTCTCATCTGTATTCAATTTCCTCCAGTGGTAAAATGTTAGGCATTCAGTGTTACTCAAACAAAATCAAAACAAAGGTTCCAAATAAGCACTTCTGAGATGTACCTAGTCATCTGAGTAATTAGACATTTTCCTGGTTCCAAACGTACCAAGAATCTGCAGTCAGCTCCCAAGGACCGTGCCAGCAGCAACCCTAACAAACAAGAGTTCTTTCTAGACGTCAGTGAACCAATGGATCAGAAGGTTGATATGCTTAAAACGCCTCTTCCTACCTGAATTAATCAGCAGTTTTACTTGCTCATTTACATAGCATCACTCAGCCACAATCATTACAGTATCAAGTTGTGCACAGCCTGCTTTTGCCACTGCTCGAGCCAGGTTACAAAGCAGGGACTCACTGGCCAAGCAAGTTCCCATTTCCAGCAGTGGGAAGCATTCTTTGAACCCAAAGGCATTGCTCCCCCTTCTGAGGGCACCTGTAGAGAGCAATCAGCCAGGGGCTTTCCACAGAGCACTGCCATCTCAGTGCTCAGCTGAGAAAGGACCAGGCACCACGTCAGGACGCCAACACGCAGGTCGTGGGACTGCTCCTCACTGCATCGCTCTGCTCACATATCATGATGATACCCTGATGTGCTCTGAGACTCCTCTGCCGATCCCAGCAACTCACTCACCCACTGCAGCTGACCGCAGAACAGAGCAGTGGGAGATGGAGCTGGCACTGCAAGAGCAGCACAGAGCCTGGGGCATGAGCAAACTGTTCAGATCTGCTCAGCTGCTGTGAACCCACAGCCTCACTGCAAGCGGTTTCCATTGCCCAGGGATGTCCATGTGCTTCAAGCCCACCCCACAGCACGGAGCACTGATGTCTCTGCAAAAGCAGCCTCCTGTTCCAGTGCATCACACAGACTCTCTCATGTTTCCTCACCCACAGAGGCAAGGCAGCATGTGAAACTCGGGCAGTGCCCAAACCACACAATCTCTCTCCACGTATGTTCCACGGGTTTCCTTCATATCTCCAAGTCAGGTCACTGCTGCTCCACACACAGTTCAGCATCACTGCACTCCACACCTCAAACCTGAACTTTTCTAACCATGTGGCAGTCAAGGCAGCAGCTTCTAACAAACCCCATCCCAGGGCAAGCTCTGAGCTTCACTGCCACTTGCTCCAGAAGAGCCCCTGTGAACAAAGACCTCCCCCAGATCTGTCTCTTCCTCAAACAGCCTCCTGAAGCTCCCTCGAAACAGTAGTGGCTCTGCCATTCACACCCACAGCTTCATCAACAACATCTGGGAGCAAAAGGAAAAAGAAAAACAGAACACAATAACACTGACTAATTCTATGTGTGAGGAAACTGAGCAGTGAGGTTTGATTCTCCCTGTAGAACGCTACTCTTGCTTTTTCAGGTATTGAGGAAACTTTGTGCAATGTAACCTTCCAGGAGGAAAAATACTTCAATGCACAGAAGAAAGAAATGGAATAATAAGGTAGGCATCTCTCCCTTCTAGAACATAGCAGTTACATCCAAATGAGACAGCTTGAGTTACATTGGTGGGATGAATAAAAGAAAGAACTTGCATTTCTGAAGCAATCCTGTCAAAAAGCCCAGGAGCTATAGGTACTTAAGAAAGATGTCAGAAACCATTGCTGCAAATGGCAGGAGAGAAAGAGAGACCAGCACAAGCACAACGCATCACCTACATTTGTGTTTCACTCAAAACACATGGCTGCAGAACAGCACTGTGAGTCTTCACTGTTACTCTTCCTTAAGTTTAGACACAGCCCGGTTAGACAGGGAAGCTACAGAGGCACCAGAGCCTTCCAGATCTCACTGAACCTGTCCAGGCCAAGAGGACTCTCAGCCAATCTGCCATCGAGGCTGGTCAATGAAGAGCAGTGCTTGGAGGTCTTCCTCTTGCAGCACAGCTTGCAGCCATTGCCTGGGGAGTGCAGGGTACACCTGAGTAATGCCAGCTACTCGAAGCACAGCCTGCAATGCCTCCAGCCAGCCCTCCTGCTGCTCAGCTCACTACAGGAGAAAGCGTTGGGAAATGGGGTCAGATTTATTTCCACAAGAGGGGAAGGAAACAGTGCTCCCTCACCAAACACACACTCCTCTGTCATGAACCCTCTGCCCAACTCCAAACTCTTCTGAGCTACACAGGCTGTCCTGCCAACAGAAACATGGAGGGGAACTTGTCACGGGTGGAAATCTCAGAAGAGACTAAGGCAGTTCCACATTACTTGACCCACTCTCCTCCACATCCTCTTTTCACATTCCAGCAGATATCTGCTAGGACAACAAACTTATCTTTAATACTGTTTCCCCCACAGAACAGTTTTCATCTCAGTATTTCTCATTTTAACACAAAAACATCGAGTGCCTTTGTGCCACAGAAAAATTGCTATACTATGAGCTTAAAATATAACGTAAGGTTTTCAAACTCCTGCCTTCTCCACCACAGTGATTCATACAAAACCTATAATGAAATACAAAGCATGGACCTGAAGTAGCACCACAGGACATAATGTTTAATGGTGAAAAACAACAGAATGTTGGTTCAGCACTCCAGCTGCTGCTACAGACCTTACTGTTTGCCTGGCACAAGCAACACAACACACTCCTTCCCTGCCATCAGACCAACACTACTGCGGGGCCACAGCCTTGGTGCTTCTGACTTCATTTCAGAGCAACAACACACTTGGCAATCACAGTGACAGTTGCAGTCCCACCACACGTTGCATCCCTGACACAGCACTCGTACAGCCCAGCCTGTATGGAGCTCGCAACCAGCTGGGCAGGATGGGCAAACAGCAGCAGCTGGCATAGACAATACCAGGGTTGAAGCCAGAAGGACCCACCCACTTGGGACCTCTCACACAAAAGCTGTGTTCCTAGATGGAATACAGGTGCCCCAGTCCTCCCATCACAGATCCAGAGAGATCCATGCAATCCAAGCACTTCCACCAGCTCCTGCTTCACAGTTTGCCACAGTGCCTTCAACGCTTCCACTCTGAGCCCCAGCTCTGCCCCTTATGCACCAGTACCCACACTGCTCCTCACAGCACCCAGACCCCAGCCAGCTGCCTGCCTCAGGTGCCACTCTGACCCTCCAACATTCCACCACGCATCCAAGCAGCGCCAGCATCCTTATGCTGCAGTTCCTGGTCATCCACAGATCTGCAAACAAGCAACCTATGTCGTGAGCTAGTTTTCGTATCTGCAAGTATCAGCATAAATGGTAATGCAGAACTAAAAGTCCTTGACAGCAACGGACATTTGTGTTTTTTAATTTTAACAGCTGCCACTAGGAGTTGGGTGAGATGGAAGCCCTATTGCCTTCCTGGAGCCATGGGCGCAAAGGAGAGAACAATGTTCAAAGCAGCACTGCAAGAGTGCTGCATGTCCTCTGCACAGCACCAGGGTTGTGCAAATGGCACTGGAACCCAGCACAAAATGAAAAAGTGCTCTGACCTACCTCTATCTCATTCCATGTGGCAGCACAGGGACTCATCAGAAAGAGGTACGTGCCCTCCTGGTGGCAGTGCCCTTCGGAAACCTCCTGCTGCAGAGCAGGACAGCTGAGCAGAGAAAGTTGCTGCATGACACACCTCGCGCTGCCAGCACAATCGGGCTATCCTCACCCAAACCACCCGCAGCTGCAAAACTCAGCCTTTCTGCCCCGTGCTATCACCTTGTCCACAATACACGAGCTCAGAGTGCAGAACAGCCCCAGCGGACGGCTGCCTGCCCGCAACACAGCGATTGTGCCCATCGGCAGAGGAGATGGAGGGACACGGGTCCGACCGCCCTGTAGCACAGGAGATGGATGGAGGCTCCGGGGTATCCGCAGAGCTCCGCACGCCTGCGAGCTCAGCCCGATGACTCCGTTCCCCGCTCACACACTCTCGCCGCGCCCCCAAGAAGTAAAAGACATTAAAATCAAAGCAGACAGGCGCTGGGATCTCCGGCACACCCCCGCCCTAAGCGTGCGCCCGCTCGCAGGCTGGGAAGGGGTCTGCCCGGCGCCAAGCCCCCGCCGACCGGACGGCCCCGAGGGGCAGTGCGCTCCAACATGGCGGGGGGCGCCACGGTAACGGGGGGCTGCGAGACGGAGGGACCCCCGGAGCGGGGCAGAGGGGCCGAAGCTGAGGAGAAGCGGGGCCGAGGGGGCGGCCGGGCAGGGGCTCCGACACGCGGGGTACCGCCAAGCCACCAGGCCCCGCCGGCTGCCCGCCGAGGGGAAGGGGAGAGGCGGGAGCGCGTCCGCTGCCGTTACCTGGGCACGCAGCTGGGGCTGGAACCGTCGATTTCCCAGGTGGCGAAGAGGTTCATAGGCACGGGCCGCCCCAAGGCCCCGGCACCGCCCGGGAAGCTGAGGCGGCCCCGCTCCGCCGCCGCCGCCATGGCTGCCGGCCTGGCGTGCGCCCACCGGGCCGCCGCCGCTGGCTGTGCCGCCACCGCCCCGCCCCGGCGGGGGGTGTGGTCACGTGAAGGTGGGCAGGCCTAGGAAGGGAGGGGTAAGGAGTCTGGGCGTGGCTAAATAGGATGGGCGTGTTCGTGGGGGCGGGCTTTATGCAGGCACCGCCCACAGCTCGCTCAGATGAGGGCCGCGCTGTCGCCGGGTGGTTTTCTGTGGCGCGGCCGGAAATTGCCGGGCGGCTGTTGGTGGCGGACCGGATGTTGTAGTGGCAGTTTCCGGCCAGCTCAGTGGTGGCTGAGGGGGGAGGAGGAGGAGGTGGCGGTGGCGGTAGGGCAGTGAGCGGAGGCGAGGATGGTGTTGCTTACTATGATCGCCCGCGTGGCGGACGGGCTGCCGCTCGCCGCCTCCATGCAGGAAGATGAGCAGGTATGTTGGGGTCTTAGCCTAGCCAGGCTCGGCCTGGGCCAGATCGGCCCGGCCCGGTCCAATCGATCTCGCTCTTCTTAGGCTCCGGCCGAGCCCCGCCGACCCCCACGACCAGCACTTCATCGAGCCGTTGGGACGCGGGTGGGGGGTGTTTTCCGGGTAACGGCAGCTGCCAACGGCCTGTCCTCTCCCCGCAGTCTGGCCGCGACCTGCAGCAGTACCAGAGCCAGGCAAAGCAGCTGTTCCGTAAGCTGAACGAGCAGTCCCCTACGAGGTGCACTCTGGAGGCAGGAGCCATGGCTTTCCAGTAAGTGGCCCCGGGTACGGTGGCACGGTTAGCATTTGCTCTCTCTGGGGTCAAAGGAAGGTGCTTCTGGGTCCTCTTGGGAAACTGAGCCCTCCTAGGGAGGGTGAATTGTGCAGCTGCCAACTGCTGGTGGGGTAATAGATGTGCTAAGGGAGAACACGTGAGGTATTACATCATGGCACTGCCTTCTGGCATTTCAGCTGGCTGCTTAGCTGTGCCTTTGCTCAAGACAGTGTAGGTTGTACCCTTTAATATCCCTTTTTGTCTCCTTCGGGTTCTTTATGCCCTCTATCACTTCCAAAAACAGATGTCATTGGTAAAAGCAGGTTAGCAGTTCCATTGTAAACTTCTTCTGAACGAGGTTCTCCTTTCCCTGTGTCCTGTGAGAGTGTACCCTTTTATTCATCCATATGCTCAAGCATATAGTCTGTGATATATTCAGTTTTTCTAATAGCTAACAAGCATTTTTTTCACATCTTTGATCTTATCAATAAATGTGTTGCTGCATTTAATTAATCTATTGAAGCATTTGCAAACTTAGCTTATGATCTCTCTTGACTTTTCTGCCTGCTGTTAAGTGCATTTGGATAATGAAAGCCTACAGAGAATGTGGGTCTGGCACCGTTACCACCTAACCAGCAGCCAGGGGGCCTAGAAAGAAAGTAACAGGTAGAAGAATTTATAGCTTACAAAAGGCAGGAGAAGAGGAAATGCTTTTTTGTTATGTAACAACCTAGCAGAATAATTGCTACAATAAAATAAAGTTAACTTAAGTTTTTAACGAAAGTTAAGTTCTTATCAAGAATCAGAATTACGTTACCAGCAGAAATATTTATGTTAGAGAAGCAAATCTCTGTGAGACTGAGTGCCGTATGGTATTGACAGAACAATGATGTGCAAAGCTTTGCTGTGCTGCCAGCAGCAGCGTTTTTTTGCCCCCTGATTTCTGGTTGCCTTTGTTATGGAGTTACAGTGTCAGTGATTCAAGCAGTCTGGCTCTTATCTCTTCTAGAGCTTAGGCAATGTTCCAGAGCTAACAGGAGAGTACTGTTCTAAATCTTCTTTACAGAAGTTAAAATTTTCTAGAGTTCAAAGACTTTGTTTCTAGATGTTCCAGTGGCACTGCATAGGTGTATCTGTGACTGTGAAGCCTTGGGGAAGAGTCTTTAGAAATCCTGGTAAACTCCCTTGTCACATTGCTTCCATGATGCAAGCAGAGCAATGTCTGGGAAGACTGCTTCAGTTGCAGTGCCCAGGGAACCGAAGCCAGGAGGATTTAGGCAAGCTCATGTTTTGATGGATGTCTCAAAGAAACACCCAGATTATGTGGCTGGCTAATAAGCAGGGATGGAAGTATCTATCTTTCTGTATTCAGTCTTTGGTCAAGTTCCACAGGCTGCTGACAGCTGCTACTGCAAAGCACTCTTGTGTTGCTGCTTTTATCATAGGATACAAAGCAGGACCTTCGTGAAATGAAGAATGCTTCCAGATCCAAAATTCTCCTCTGATAACAGTATAGGTAGGGAGGAAATAGGGGAATCAGAGATGGTCATCAGTACTATTTTAAACAATGCTGTTAGTTAACACAGTCCATCTTGTTTTCTGCCAAATCAGTGCTCTGACTGCTGAGGGCAGCATAAGCCAGGACTGAGCTTTTTGTGGTGTGAGGGAGATCCTGGCTGAACTTGCTAAAAAGACTGTGAACATTTTTAGCTTGATCAGTTCAAAGAAGAGTCTTGCCTTGATGAAATCTGAAGCTCAGACTAACACTGCTGGACTGATTGTCATCAAATGTAATCTTCAGAGCAGCTCCAAAAGCTGTGTCACCGTTCCAGGTACAGCACTTGCAGTAATGGTTGTGCAGGCACAGAAGCACCTCCATACTTTGCTCTGCTGTCAGTTGTGAGTTGACCTTTGGCTTGTCAGTGGTTTAAGTGGCTCTTACCTGTCATGTTGAAAACAACCCTTGGCCTTTACTGCTGATACCAATTAGAAGAATAAAGCTTTTCTCTCTCAAACTTATCCCAAATAAATACAGAAGCCTGCTAGCTACCCTCAGCATGCAGCAATCTAGAGTTAGAAGTGGTAAACTGCAATGTGTGCACTGCTGGGCATGCAGTGAGATCAGGTGCTATGCAAAAGCTCAGAGGCGTGCACCAGTGTGAAAGAGGCATCCAGCTGTGCTGGAAATCTATTCTGATCTTGGACTGAGGCTGCAGAATGGCGTGAATCCAGGACAGAAGGAGGTGTGGTTGCTTGCTGTGGTACTGACAGATTATACTGACTTCATATTTGATATCATATTGGGGAAAGCAAGTGGGAAATAAAGCTGAAGGGTTCCAGGCAGGACCAGCTGGCCAGAAGAGACCATGGCTTTACTGGCTGGATATGTTCCTTCATTTGCTCTCATCTTTGAGAGCTCTCAGGCAATACTCTTCTTGTCTGACAAGAACCTTGCTGCTTTCAAGTACCTTCCAAAAAGCTTCTGGTCATGGCAGTGGCTAAATCAAGCTCTGAGTGATAACTTAGAACAATCCTGAGCTGCCAAGAGGGTCTCTGAGGGTGAGGAAGGAACAGAGGCAATGCATACGATAGGATTAGACCTACAGACTAGTGCAGTCCAAGCTGAGGGACACACAAAGGTATTTAAAAAAAAAAAAAAAAAGGGTGGACTGTAGTGGCTGAAATTTGTTGCTTCTGCTTGGAGTGGAACAGCTGTTCCTTGCAGTCTGGCAGGTTTTGCACACAGATCACTGAGGCAGCAGAAAAGGACACTCAGAAGTGAGTTGAGGATGGTTAAATCAGAGGGTCAAGACCTTTTTGAGTATCTGGAAAAACCACAGGTTGTGGGAGAAAGTTGTATTGTATGTATTGTATTATATATAATAGCTGGATGCAGCTATTGAAATTTTAAAGCTTATTAACTACAGTGCCCCTATGACTAGATCAGTTCTCTAATACACTGTTAATCTCTAGGTTAATTAGACTGCTACATAATGGCATTATTAGACACAAAGTCAAGGGAAGGTAACATAAATGTAAAACTGGAATTCCATCCTGAGTAATAGAAATATTTGAAAGTATATCCAGAGCTATCTGCCATCTCCACTAGCTTGGTTTTGGTAGAATTACTGTTGCCTTTATTTTTGTAGTGGCTGAATGAGGAGAAGAACATAGGGAACATGCAACAGCAGATAGCTGTAGTGAAACAAGTAAAATAAATAGTCTTAAGTCTCATTCTTATCCTTTATTGCAGTAGGCTTTTTAGCTGAGTTGTAATGGAAGGTTCCTCCCTATTTCTGCTCACAGACACTGCTATCCGCAATGAAACAAGCTCAGCACTAAACCTTTGTGAACAATGAGAATTAGCTGCAATAGGGAGTGAGGTGGTAGGAAGAGAACATCTGTGTTCAGCTGCACAAAACAGGGTTAAAGAGCAACAGTAGCTCCTGTTTCAGCACCAATTTGGGGGCTCCTAACATCACAGCCTACCTTATCCATTGCAAATAGGATAAAGATGTCACCAGAGCCCATCTAGTACCAGTATTTTTATTTGGCTGTATGCTGAGGTCAGCTTGTAGAAAGCATTGCCCCAGCAATAGGGGAGTGTTGGGGAGGAAGGCAGCACTCAGCCTTCCAAAATAGGACATGGGAGCCAGCAGTCACTGGGTGCTTCATCAGAGCTTTAGCACATTGAGACCAAATTCCTGTGGGTGCCTTCTATCTGTGGGCCTCAGGTATGTGGCTGTGCTGTGTGTTCCTTAGACTGTGCTTTCCATCTTCCCTTCTTTCTGCTGGCAAACTTTCTAGTGCTTCTCTTCTTCAGGCTGCAGAAGGCATGCATGATAGAAGGGAAGTAGGCAAGCTGTCCTCTCATTTCACTCCCAAAATTATAGCATTTGTTGCTGGCATTTTTGTTAAGCTGGTGATACTCACAGCCCAAATGTGGTCCCAGTGAAGTGAAAGTTCAGAGGTCATTCAAGCTGGTACAGGGTCTAAAGCTGCAAGAAAATTTATTTTAGGTGAATAAAAAATAGCCACTACTTTGCAGAAAGTTTATACCCAGGCCTGACATAGCAAACTGAAAGTACATTTGTCCTGTTCTCATTATTTGGGTAGCATTTTAGCCAGGCTAAAATGAATCGTTGCTCCCAAGTTCAACTTCAGAAGAATTACAGTCAGTGACAGTAGGGTTATACAAAGCCAGCTAGGTTCTCAGCTTCAGAAAGCTGTTTACTTGGGGGGGAGAAAGGTATGATGGATAGTGTCTAATAGGATGGGTACAAAAGTGCTTGATTGATTCTCTATTTTATGTTCTTCTAGCTACATCATTGAGAAAGGGGTGTGTTACCTGGTCCTGTGCGAAGCTGCGTTCCCAAAGAAACTGGCCTTTGCGTATCTGGAAGACCTGCAATCAGAATTTGATGAGCAGCATGGCAAGAAGGTGCCAACGGTCTCCAGGCCCTATTCATTCATTGAATTTGGTGAGGTCCCTCTCTGCAAGGCTAGTTAGCAAGCTTATTGCAGGGGCTGCGGCCACAAAATGCTCCCCTGCTTGGCCTATGGAACTGACAGTTCATTCTCTTTTTGGTGCTGTTAAAATGGGTGCTTTTAGCATGGAATATTTATGAATAGAGACGTGGTAAGAAAATCATAAATATCCTTTAGCTCAGATTTCTTGCTTTCAGTCTTTGGGCTTGTTTCCAGGGAATATTTGCTTGCAGTCTGCTGGCTGTCTTAGCACTTCTCCCACTCCTTTGGCAGCCAGGCTGCTCTGTGTTCAGTGAGTGTTTTCTCCACTGCATCTGAAGGAGGTGGTGTGGAACTAATAAAGTGTAGGACATTTTTGATACAGCAGCCTGAATGAGAGTGAGTGGGATGCAAATTGTGAGAACATTAGTGTCCAGCAGTGTGCTGGGGAGGGAAGAACAACTCTGACTTGAGGTCTTTTTGTTCTCTTTCTGGTGGTTTGCTCTCCACTGGTGTGCCCATTATGTAGGCACAGAACTGGGACTGTGTGGGTAGAGCCTGGAAGAATATTATTCTCCCAGAGCAGTGCATATCCAGCAGCAAAGTCTCTCAGCCTTCTTGCCTTGCTTTTAGGTTAAGGCCCTTCTGTGCTGGCCTGGAGCAGCAGAGTGAGAAGCCTAAAGCTTCTAACCCATGTCTGCAGCCTCTCCCTGCAGCCACATTAATGCTTGGAACTGGTTCTTAACATTTTCTTATTTTCAAATTGAAGAATTAGCTTTTGAGGTGGGAGGGCAGAAGCAAGGGTCACTTTGTGTTATACTTTTTTTGTGTAATAGTTTTCATTTGCAGTGAAAGATATATTAACTTGAAGCAGAAAGTTTCTGATCTTATGCCCTCTTGTGTCTCTATTTGAGTATATGTTTCAGTGAACACAACTAACCAGAAACATCAGAGAACTGCTGATGTCTATCAGACTGTTGACTGGAAAGTCTTCAAGCAGTGGTGGGTGCTTCAGCTGAAGAAAGCATAGGCTGAAGCAGAGACAGATCAGTTCCTTTTGCTTGGCAAAGCAAGCACCACAGGGAGGTAAGTATCCTTCTTGATGGTTTTCTCTTGTTCCAGACACCTACATCCAGAAAACCAAGAAGCTCTACATCGACAGCCGGGCGAGGAGGAACCTGGGTTCCATCAACACAGAGCTGCAGGATGTGCAGAGGATTATGGTGGCCAACATTGAGGAGGTCTTGCAGCGAGGAGAGGCACTTTCAGGTACGCGTGGTGGCTGCTGTTTGGTGTATGCTTACCCTCAGTCAGTAACGTGGGTAGAGCACATCAGATGGAAAGTCTTCCTAATCCCGAGGTCTCCTTAGAAAAGCAATGGACTCAGCAGGTGCATCATTTCTGTCAGTTGCATCCTGAAGCACCTGATGGATACTGGTGCTACTTCTGAGTGTCTCACCACGCTGGGTGGCCCTGGTAGAACAAGCACTAGATCACCAGGCAGACACAAGGCGTGCTGTCATGCAATACTGCTGTTCTTCCAGCTGCTCCAGAGAAACTCCTTCAGTTAATGTAACATGTGGGTGATACCTGGTTGGGTTGATTACTTCTTGATTAACTTCTCTGCCCTTTCCCTCCAACAGCTCTGGATTCCAAGGCCAACAACTTGTCCAGTTTGTCCAAGAAGTACCGTCAGGATGCAAAGTACCTGAACATGCGTTCCACTTACGCCAAACTTGCGGCCGTAGCTGTGTTTTTTATCATGTTGATCGTCTATGTGAGATTCTGGTGGCTGTGACCTGGTTACGCTGAAGAGGGAAAGCTGGTAGCCTGGCAGATGTGTGTGTGTGCAGGACACTGTTCACTGGGGATGTGCATTAGAATCCACGCAGGACCATCACCTTTATACAAGTGTCCTGAAAATGTTAGGCGACACCTGAGTGCTACACCTCTTAGTGAATCCTAACTGTAAGTGTAAAGGCTTGGTGACTACAGGCTTTTCCCCTGAGGCAGTTTGCACTAGGATACTGTTGAGGCTGACCTGCGGCTCTGCACCTCTCCGAGCAGGGAGCTTTGGGAACAGCTTATCAGTGCAGTTTAGCATCATCACCTTTTACGTCCTCCTCTTGAGTAGCTCTAGTGGGAACTGGACTCTAATGAACATTCCTTGTGTTGGCAATGTTTGCTTTTTTTTAGGGTCTGGATCGGCGGTTTTTTGTTAATATTTTCTTTTTAAAGATCAGATTCCCCTGTTTGAAGGCAAAATACTGCTCTGTACATATTGTGGTAGCTTTCACCTCTGGACTAGCTGTTGTTGAGTTTTCTGTGTCTGACATCTTGGCTTATTACACTTTCAATTGCTTTAGAAACAAAAAGATGGTAAATTATGCCTTAAATACATTCTGTCTAGTGCTAGGAGAGGCAGTGAAAGGCTTCTGTATTATTGATCCCTACAAAACTAAACGACAGGTTTGTATGTGTCTACTTTTCCTCTCCTGGCAGCTGTGTGTGACAGTATGTTTCCATGTGATTAAAAACAGGGTGTATAACTCAAGTGCTGTTGGTGCGGGCGCAGTGCAAACTATGTCAGCATTATGTCTATTTTCCCTTCTCTCTGCAGATAAACTACATTATTTCCTTCTACTGTACTTTCTTTCCAAAATGTATCAACTGCTAGCACTTCATCTCTGGGACGCTTGTTTTCTTTCTCCCTCTCAATGAAAACAACCAAAAAATAAAAGCAAAACTCTGAATGTTCTTATGAAGAAAAGGGAGTGTTTCCTTAAAAAACACTTCACCTTTACATGAAGGATTCAAGAGGATAACTTAAAAACAGTGGAATCCTTTGGAAATGCCACCTTTTTTTTTTTTTTTCCTGCAGTCACCCTCTCCCTACCTCATATGGGAAGCTGAAATTGTAGGTGAAGAAAAACTCACTGTGGGCAATACTATATAGCTGCTTCTTTCTCACGGGCCAATCTATATAGTCTCAGCATAATGTGATTTTACTTTTATTCCAGCTGTGCTAGGAGCACTATTTTACCCATCAGCTTTTTTTTAACTTAAAAGAACAACCTCAAACCACAAAACCCTAAAGCTCAGGCCTGCCCACTCTTCTCTGCACTTAAGTGTCTGTTTCTGTAACTTGGTAGGAAGCAGGTAGTGTCACAGAAGGAAGCTTCAGGTCTCCCCATTAACTTTTAAAAGCACGTGTTCTTGTGTAGTTCTGGAAATCTAAACTGGGACATGGGAATGTTTTCTGCCACTGGGTAGGGATTCGAGGAGCTGTTGTCCTGCCCAGCCTGGTGCCATGTGGGACTGGCAGGGAAGCAGTAGCACTGTCAGTCAACCAAGCAAATCCCATCTGTCTTGTACTCTAGAATTTCCTGATTTCTGCATGATGTCTCCAAGTGTTACTTTGTTGATTGTTTTATTATTACCATTTTTAATCTTTGCAAGTGGTGTCACTAACGGGTGACTGTCCCAGTGATGTAGATCTGTGTGTGATGTGGGTACTGGAAGGTGAGCTGACAATGGCCGTAACTGGATTGTTGTGACTTGAGGGGGAGACGCTGCTCAGCAAGCAGTTGCCTGCTGCAGCCCAGGTGTCAGCAGTGAAATAAATGCTTCTGAAAAACCCCCTTGGCAGCGTGACCGATGTTTCTGTCGTTCTAGAGGATGCTTTATTTGCTTCTGGAGGCACAGGAGGGTAAAGACCCCACAGTTAACTGTGTGCAGAGCAACACGTGCAGCCTGAGTGGTCAGTGCCAGTGCAGGCCCAGAGCTGTTGCCTGCAGATGGCAGTGCTGGCACGGTGCAGAGACTGTAACTGAGGGCTCCCCATCTTGTTGCACTGCCCCAGCCTCCCTGAAGCCCTACAGCTTAGCTGCGCCCAAGGGTTAGCTGGTTTGTTTCTTTTTAAGAAAAAAAAGCTGTTTGTGTTGGCTGCACTTGCTGCTGCCATTGCTCAGGTCTGGGTGCCTCTGGGTGTCCCTGTGTCCATAAGTGCTGGAAGGGATGGGGAATGTAGAAAGGATTGTGTGGGACTGTGCCCACCCTGACCCACCGGGAGGCTGTGCTGGTGGGTGGCTAATCCTATTCTCTGTCTCCTTACATGCTGCTGTCACATGTAAACCAGGTGCCATCTGGCACAGACCACAGCGATGCTCTGCATCATCACCTCTCCCCTAGAGAGAGCAGTGGTTTGGGTGCTGCAGGGTTTTGGTTTCTATGTTTATTTGGGCATCAGCTGCTTCCCCCCACTTTGAACCAGCTCCTCACACTTGCAATCCTCCCATTTATTTATTTTTGGGTTGGGGTGGGAGGGGGAAGCACATTCTGCATCTTTTTTTGTGGTGTCAAGGGGTCTTTGACCCCAGGTGGTTTCCGGCAGCTGCTTTGCTGCGAATGAACGTCCCAGTGGCAACAAGCGTTGTGCCAGCATCGCTGAGTCAGGGATCCACACATCTGCCTGAGGACACCAGTCACAAAGTAACAGCCTGCACAGTGAAGGCCAGGATGGTAGGGCATG